ATCGGTGTCAAATTTACCCCTTTCTCCACTAGCCAATCGTAAATTGTCACCATCCTCTCAATTTCCTTGTCCTGCAGCAAGGCTTCGTGTTTGAAGTTTAACTCATCCCGTAAATTCAAAAATTTCTCCGGGAAGTCCACCAGATTGTCTTCAGGCTCAATATAATTCATTTTTTGAGGAAGCAAAAAAGTTTTTTAAATAATGTAATGACAGATTAAGTTTAACAGAAAGCAAATAAATGATGTTGCTTTTAGTCCTCTTTTATGAAGAGATGTTTATTTTTTCATTTTTTTTCCTCCTCCAATGGGGAAGGGGAATGCAGTTGTTAAAATTTAACAACAGCATAACGAATATAAATCTTTTCACTGCTAGATCTCAACAAATCAAAACTAAGTGGAAAACCACGACTTTAAACAAAAGTGGAAAAAACCACAACATTACAAAACGAATGCCGAAGGAAATACGAATTAAAACGAGAGACGCCGAATAACAACGGCCAATCAGAGCTTAGATTTGCAAAAAAGCAAAAACAGCCTTTAAAAATTAACTGATATATAGTTATTTTTATTCTTGCTCAATTTCACATCTTGCATCCTAAACCTCCTCTCTCTCCAAAAAATAAATCTGCTGATTTCCTCAACAAAAATAAAAAAATCTAACTCAGATTTCCCATCAAAAAATCCACAAAATGACAAATCCAAATAGTGAACTAGAGGAAGGTGAACTAATGGACCAAAATCCTGTTCTAGCCACTCTCGAAGAAATGCTTAAAGTGAGTACTTTTTCTTTTGCTATCATTGACCACCAAAAAATAAGTTTGCAAACCAGGTTGGTCTTTTAACTCTAACAATACTTTCGAATCAAACCTCAGCATTTGATCCGAAAGAACAATCGTATGCAAATACTGCTAATAATCTTCGGGTTGCTCATTATGATTGTCAACTAATGACTTCTAACAAAATGTTCTCTCTAAATAAAGTAGCACCTTGCAAAGTCCAACCAGAAAATATTAAAGTAACCCATGCTTATGTTACTCTTTATCAGAGACATTATCGCGTAAAAGTAAATGCGACAATGTGTCGAATCAAACACCAATCAATGCGTTGGTTCTGCGATTCTTTTGATTCGAGTGGTATCGACGCTCGACAAAATATGATCACTACTGATCTCCATTTATCTGCCGATCAATGTAAATCGGCCGCCGACAGAGGCTATCTTAACCTAGGCTTTGCTAGTATTGGAAATATTCCTTTCAAATTTAAGGTTAAAACAGTAACTAATGCCCATGCTGGCAAAGTTGACGGCGAACATCATAATGAATGTGATGGCCGTTCTTGGATTAAACTGGACACTTTTGAAACTTACATGCAAAATGTAACTCTGACTGTTAACCTCAAAGATGGAACAGTCAATAATTGGCAAAACATCCCTTTGCCCTGTCCAGTGTCTACAAATGGATGTGAAACAACGTCAATAGATTCTTTTGCTTATACTTGGGAAGAACCCAAAAATTGCATTTTCACTGTTTTAAACAGATTTCCGACTAAAATTATTCGAAACGAAGAATCATACTACATAATTAAAGGCTTTTCTAGCCCGTCTATTCATTCTACCCAAACAAGGGATTCTCAAAAATTCATGCTACAGGTGATAAATAAACCGCAATCTCTTTGTGGTCATCCCAGAAAAGTGTATCCAACTTCATATGATTCACTTTTTATTGCATACACTGACGGTTTCAATATGGATACTGGAATCCAAGTTAAACCAACCCCAGAAACGGGAACTATTCATAATGCCGGCCAACCAAATTCTACTTTTCTCACAACAAGTGATGATTTGCCGCCACTCAAATTCTCAACTAGTCAAATTGACTACGAAGCTCATATAGGAACCAAATTGGACTATATTCTTTTTAATAGCTTCTACAGGCTCAGAACGGCCGAGTTAGCCCTTCTGCAAAATCAATGTGAGCTAGAACGCTCCTCAATATTAAATACTCCAATGCTTTCACTTGAAAGCCCACGTTTGGCTGGCTATATTTTAACTCAGAACCGCTCTATGTTCTTAGAGACCAATGGCAATGTTGCCTGACTCTACTATTGTCCGAAATTTTACTCACCTTTGCAATTAATGGATGAATGCTATAATCGCATTCCCAATATGTATAAGGAAAATATTCGATTTGTCGATCCAATTACGCGACAAACTTTTCAGTCGGCAGATCTACAAGACTGCTCCGACAAACATTCAAATCTCTTTCAACTAGATGTTGATGATGATAAGTCCTGGATTGAATTAACCCCCCAAATCACAAGGGTTACAGGACCATATCTCTTTAAACCAAAAGAGATAATTCAACAGAGTAAGCATTCTTTAGTCTCTAGCCAAGGCGCTTCAATCTACACTTATGCTCAAATGCAAAAATTCTGGAATATGATTTCCGATAATTCAGAGATGAAAGGAATACTGCAAGTATCCAGGTCCTTTCTAAACGCTCAAAAATTTCTTTTCACGGACTCATATAGCCCACTAGGCTCTTCTCAAAGAATATATTTGGACTATCTCATCTCTCCAAACTTTTGGAAAAACGAATACACCCGTATATTCGGGAAAGTACAATACTATTTAGAAAAATGCGAAATAGTCTTCGCCTCTTTTCTATTTGTGAAATTCATACTAGATTGTCTAATATTCATAATAAAGGCTATGCATTTTCACAAAATCACCGGCCGCTCACTACACTTTGGCAAAGTATTGCTTGCCGCCTCATATAATATACTTTTCACTTCCATAGTGACCTCAATTTTCACTCAAGATGAGCAAACTGAAAGAATAGAACAAGAATGTGATCAGAAAATACAAGCCCCTCTTTTAGAGGAAATTGATAAAATCAACCAGGATCGCATGTATCCTCACATCCAATTAACAAGTTTTGAGAGAAGAACTCAAAACTTGGATCACCCAACAAACCCAGTCTAATAAAAAAAATTCTACTGTTCTAGGATATACCAACAGATTCAACTATGGACGCAACACTTGATGACGACTTGAGAGATTTTGAGGATCTTCTCTCACTCCTGCCACCAACCGATCCACTGGACTCGCATATTTCAGCACTCACTCAACAACCAACTGTTTCTACTACTACTACCCCCACTGCAAAGCCGACCTCAACACGATCCTTCGTTGAGCCACTACTTCAAACCAATTCAGTCGTCCCAATAACTACAGCATCAAAGCCACCACCCCTAAAAGTTTCACCCCCTGATTTCAAAATACCCCTGGTTCCCTCGAATTCCAAAATTAAAAAGCGAACCCAGATTGTAAGACCATATAAGATACTAACGGCAAATACGCCGGTATCAACTTCTCAATATCCAATGACCATTAGGCGACAGCCCTTACACCCCACTGAATTAAATACTAAATTACACATTCAGTTAGAAAGGGAACGATACATTAATTCTAACAGCAATCCCGGCTTCGATATGGATCTCAATTATGCTTTGAATCCATTAATCAATCGTTTTAAATTAGAAGCCTATCACCCTATAAAAAAAATGTACTCCATAACTAATTCCCTTCTTGAATATCAAAAAATCTATGTCACAGCAAAATATCTGACAGCAAAATTTCAAACCCCCCAGTTAGATGACTATACTGAGCAAATTCAGCGCAGTCATATACATGAAACGCATCAAATCCGGGAGCTGAAAAAGCAAATCCACAATTTGAAAACAAAAAATCACCACTTTATAGCCCGGTTGGAAGGAAAATTATAGAAATTTATCCTTTCATTTAAAAATTTATCCTTTCATTTTATTTAGCTATGTAGTATAGCTACTAATTTTGCCTTTTCCAACAATTTTGATTTTTATAAAAAACAAAAAAACACCCTTTTGTATGAACCAGTCCTCCCCTTATTACGCATATGGACACCCACTTCACATACTTCAGGACAAAAAGGAAACTTCGAGAAGAGAATGTTCAAGGAATGATAATATTAAACTGACCTGCAAACTTTTGAGAAACAAATAATTTTGATGTATTTAATTTTATAGTTAAATCTCTTGGTGGTGTAAACTCTATTTTTGATTTATAAATGTAACTGATGTATTTATATTCATTCAATCCTGACTCAAAGTATCAGATGTTCAAAAACATCTGCTACCTATCTTTACCAACAAACTATTGAACAAACTTCATGAGATTGCAAGAAAAAGCTTTGATCGATAAACAATTACCCTACTATTCAAGTGAAAGTAAAAATGAAAGTTTTAGTTTTTTTCCTCTCCAAATAGGAGGATGGATATGTTCTGATTTCAAATAGAAACAGAAACATGAATTATTTTATTGAGCTCACAAAGTGTGACGCCGCCGCCACCACAAAATAAATATGTTTTTATTCCCTTGCAAAAGGAAGGGAAATGCTATTGGAATAATTCGTATAACATTTTAAGCATTGAGAATTGAAACGACTATTCTCGTTCAACGCGAATAATAACGATTCCTCTTGTAAAATACGAGCATACGAAACATTCTTCGCGTAAAATACGAAAGTACGAATAGAGAATATGAAGTTAAGAAGTAACTTCTCATTTGATACGAAAAGTGGTACGATTTCCCATCTGAGTATAAATAGAAGCTCAAAACTACGGGAATTCATTTCCAACAATTTCTCTTCTAACACCACTACCTCCCTCTCTAATATCCCAACAATTTCTCTTCTAACACCAACACCACTCTCTTCAAGCACCCCAACCATTCTCTAAAATAATATCCATTCTCAGTAAAAATATCTCTAATCTCACCGTTAAAATAGATATTGAGTCAAAAGGCAACTTGCTGTAAATTCATACTAACTTCTTTTCTAATAAAATATTTCTCAGCGATTTTTAGATTTACTTTCTAAGATAGAAAGTAGAAAGGACCCTTTATTCCTAGCAAGCGTTTTGTCCGGCGCACATAATGTTGCTAGCTCAGAATATTCTGTGTAGGGATGAGGTGTCACAGCAGAGGGAGTTGAGCGTCCGGAGTGGGAAAACTATTAGAGACATGGAGAGTGTCATCACAAGGCAGAAAAACAAACTCAGGGTAAGCTAATTCAGTTCAAACTAATGCGCACGGCGCTTCAGACCGTGTAATCAAAGAGTTGCGGCGGTCTGTGGGTTAAAAACGATAGTTAATTGGGGGAAATTGGGTCTATTTTACTCATGTAGTTATTGAGGAAGGGGCGATATCTAGATTTTATTTGGGCAAGGGAGCGCCTAATCGAAAGTGCGAAAACCTGCTCTGTTTCAAACTTCCGGTGGTCTCAAGGGGAGAATTTGAGCGGGGCCTTTTCTATGGTTTTTTGAACTCTATTAGAGTGAGTTTTCCATGAAATATTTTCCATTTTTTAAAATTGTGGCTTAATTATGTAATTAATGGGATAAAAGGCGATTGACTCGTTTGCTTCTTTACGCTTGCGATACAAAATGAAGTGTTCCACTTGCGATGCAACATATCACAAGTGGTTATATTTATGTTGTATCGCCCTAAACTAACAAGAAGTGTTCCACATCTTGTTAGTTTAGGGTCAGTGTTGAACCACTTATCATGCGACGTAAAGAGACTACGTGAACCTTTAGTGTTAGAAAAAACAAGCTATCTACTTGTAAAAAAGTCGTGTAGTTTATTCAGATAGTTACTTGAAATTACATAGGCAAGTCTGACTTTGCGCGAATGGACTTATGGTTGAAATGAAACTCGGGTGCATTGAATAGTAAAAAGTAAAAGTATAAAAGGAATAGTATGCTGAACGTTTAGTTAGTTTTTCTGGAACACTGGTGTCATGAAGATACAATTGGAAAATCCATTGTTTTATTTCTTGACGTTTAAAACGTCATTTAAGAGATGATAATTTTCATTGTCAATTTTCAATCACCCTAGTGTATAACAGTGTGCGGTATTTAGGACGGAGACGTTTCAACCATCATTTGAAAGATGATTTTTTTGATGTCATTTTTGGACGCATTTGAGTATAACTACGTGTGTTTGTGTTGTTTAGGACGTGGAGGAGTCGCGAGTGGGAGACATGCAGGGACTGAGTGACAAGCTGTACAGTTTGAGGGAGGAGCACCACGAACTCCGGAACAGGTGCTCTAAGCTGGACAACATGAACAAACATCTCAGACTGGAAGTGGACAGGGCACACAGGCAGATAGCACTAGGACTCAAAAAGGTGGTTTAAAATTCCAAGAGGGGGAGGGGAGAAAGAATAAAGCTGGTCAAGTGGGTTAGGCACATGTCTCTCAACACGAGGTTTTTATAAAAGTTCAGCTTTGAAAACCAAGAAAACAGTGTTATTTTTAATTTCAAAACGAATTCTTCCGCATTTAAAATATTTATTTCGTTTTTTGAGTGCTATCAAACTGTATATAAAGAACAAATTACAGAGTATTTTTTGCAGTACTTTTTTCTTAATTGCATTTTTTATTTAAAAATTTTGTTTTTGATTCTTTTTGCAATGAAAGGATGATTTAAGAATTCGTTTTTGATTCTTTTTGCAATGGAAGGATGATTTTTTAGGTGTCTGCCATTTCTAAATTTCTGTCAGTTTATTGTCCCGACTTTCGAAGAAAACGGAATGTTTATGCTCGGTGTGGTTTTTTTATTCAGTCAATTTTCGCCGACCGAAATAATAGTTTTTGATAAAAAATTTTTATACCCCATTGAAGATATCATCGACTTCCTGAGTTCAAATCTAGAAAGATATTTTACCTCCAATCCTTTTTTGTTCTGGGGGTTTGAAAATTGCCAAACTGGCCATGTTTCGGACTGAATTATGCGCGCCTTGAAGAATTTATTCATCATGCTGAGAGCGTAACGCGAATTATTTATGCGTGGAAAATTATCTCGCATCAAAATCGTTCCAAATTGAATTGAGGCTAGCTAATCAGATCGGTCGTATTAATTTCGTACGACTCAACATTTCACACTTTGATATTGTCCAAAATTTATTGGTTTTCAATATTATCTTTTCCCAACAAACTATTCGATATGAGTTAAGGGAACGTCGGAACATTCAGGGCTTTGCCCTGGTGTACTAGCAGTCTTGTTGTTTACACAAGCATAGCTTGTGTTATAGCATGAACTATCTTTTTTTCTGACCTAAGTCAAAAATATTGTTGCGACGAAAATATTGTTGCGATAAAATATGTTCATTTGATCAATAACCAGTGATTAAGTACAGCCAATGCTAAGGATATTAACACCGACTATTATTGTTCCGACTTTCGTAACGGAATATTAGTGCTCGGGGTGGTTTTCGTTTTATTTTGACAAATTTCGACTTTTTAACTAGCCATTTTTGACGGAATTTTCTAATATCATTTAAAAGATATTGTTGTCCTGAACTTAAATTTGAAAAGATATTTCACCTGTGAGCATTTTTTGTAAATTTTTTGGGGGTTTAAAAATTGCCATTTTAGTCAATTTAGGAAAACTAATGCGCGGTAGATTTCGGGCTATTAACGCGTAAGCGGAGATTTAATCCGTCCTAGAAATCGTTCCAAATTGGTTGAAGGAAGCTTATTTGCCATAATTGTTTTGTTACTTGGAGCGAAATTTAGCACTTTGTACTTGATATGGCGCGTGGGGGGATGATTTACACAAAAATCTCATAATAAAAAAATTCGTTTTGTTTTTATTACATTTAATTTTTTCAAATTAGTTTTGCTCCATAGACTGCTCTATAAATTGAGGCATGTGCAATTGTAAATTTCTTTCTTTTTCAAGTTGACTAGTACTGCTAATGCGTCGTAATTTTCCCAGTAGCGGTTTCGGTCATATTTTTGCTGGTATATGTGAAGTACAACTTCGCCTCTGTGTTTATTTTTGCCTTCCGATTTTCCAATTCGAGTTTCCAATGAGTTTTTTTTCGATCTGCTATTTTTTTGTTTCTTATTTTTTGAACGTTTTATCGGTCATTCATTTGAAAGTTATCTGAGTTGTCTAGTTATATAGGAGTTATGGGTAATTGGCTAACAGTTGATTTTCTATTTGTCAAAAATGTTTCTGAAAATGCTTCAGATTTGGTTTTTATATCAGTGTTTTGCATTGCATTTTTAATATACTCAAAAACCGTTTTCTTATCCTCTTCTGCCTAATTTAAACAGGAGGAGAAGCGTAGAAGGGACAATGAGCAGGTGTTCAATCAGGTCAGGGCACAGTTGGCAACGGGAGAGAGGATATCCGATAAAAAGTGAGTACCTGTCGTGTTCTGTTGGGAATAGAGACGTTGAGTTTTCATGTTGAAATCTACCTTCTTCAGTCTCTAATCTCCTGATTTCAAATTTCAAAGACCTGCTCTTGTTTAGAATTTTGGCCATGATTGACCATTACGAAGGAGCCATAGAACAGTTGAGGAGCAAAGTGGCATCCATGGTAGAGAGACAGAAACAGCAGAAGCAAAAGTGAGTGTGTTTCTTTCCGGATTTAATGAGACGCTGCCTCTGAGTCTCTTCATCAAGTTTTGTGTCAATAAACGAAGTGAAGACATTTAATAAGAGTAATGAACGTACTTATATAGGACTTGGTGATTTTTTTTGGTTTTTTTTTCAGGAAAATCTACTCAGGCTCAATTTTGATTTTTTGCGGTTTGACTTCTGATTTTTTTTTTAAAAAGTTCTTTTCTTTTCCTTTGTTTAAAGGAATGCAAACTCCAAAATCGTGTGAGAAAGAAGGCATCACTTCGTTTCCTTTTTTTTAAAGGAAGGCAAACTCCAAAATCGAACAGCAAAAATATAAAGGTCACTTAAAATGTAATCGAATATTTAGTTTCGAAAGTGGATTTTAATTTTCAGATTATCTGTAACAAAGCTGATAGCTTCGAACCCTTTCTGTTCGAATTGCCATTTCATAAGTTAAATTTAATATATATTAAGCTGACAACCAGTCTTCAGAGATGCTAACAACGTTAGTGATCTTTACTAACGGATACAAATTTAAATAAATTTAGATAACAAGATAAGAGTTTATGGAGTGACAGTTCATAGTTCAGCAATGGAATTTCACTTTTCCCTCCTCTAGGTTCTTTCCCTCGCTTTGAGAATTAAAACGCATTGCCTTCGAAATTCTGTCACGAGCAATATGTGATTCGTTGCTGTGTTTCGCGCAGATCTAAGCTAGAGCACTGTTTTGACTTTTTCTTTTTAACTCATGTTGAGTAGTTTCTGTTAACTCGAGTTGAGTAGTTTCAACTCATTTTTGCAATCACCGCCGTACCCGAACTGATATACTCCTGTTGCTTCCGTGCTGCCGGCACTTTAGGTCTGATAAAGCTGGCCAAAAGTATTATCATCAGTGGGAACAGCGTTGATTGGATGTCCATCAGTTTATTATTCCGAAGCAGGCCATGTATTGGATGCAGGGTTCATGCTCTGAGGGCGCTCCATCGCCGTTACCATGTAATAAAGCTGATAGTTTTGAACTTTTTCTCTTCAAAATGCCATTTCGCAAGTTAAATTTACTATATATGAAGCTAGCAACCGGTCTTGAGGGTTGCTCATAAAGTTAGTCATCTTTACTAACGTGTAAAAATATCAATAAGTTTAGATAACAAGATATGAAATCATTGAGGAATAGTTCATTGTTGATCAGTGGAATGTCTGTCACTTTACCCAGCAAATTGAAAATTTTACCTTTTGATCCACCCTTCTCAAATTGGATTAATTTTTTCAAAAACGATCAAACATAATTTCTTTATGTAATTCAAAGAGCTTTAACGGTATATAGTTTTTCTTAATTCGTAAGTTGATTTTTTAAAAACAAGTCAATTTTTTTTTCGATTTTCGTGCGTTCTTTACTCTTTTCCAACTGTTCATTGGCAATGTTTTAGGTCTCGCCATTCCTTTTTTTTTTAGTGTCAATGAAAATTATTGACGCCCAAATTTATATTTGTCGGTTAGCCTTTGGACTCTTTTCAATTCAGCTGTCAAATGGAAGGAAAGTTACGCTCTCCAATAACGCTCTCTGATCAAATTACGCTAATAGTCCAATTGATGTGAAAAAACGTGAATGACTTCTAGTTTCGATTGTGAACTTTAATTTTTGGTTCTCCCAGTAGTTTGAAAAATTGATCCAGTTTTCTCAAATTGATTTAATTTTATAGTCAGCAATTTTGTTTCATCTCTTGAAAGTGTTGTGGAAATTTGTCTTTGAGTGTGTTTCAGTTTTTTGAAGTTTTTGAGTTTTATTCTAATTAAATACAAGTACAGATTCACCTTCATTTCACAGATCAACGGTTTTTTGCATTTACCCTCATAGAAATGTCATTTTTTTGTGTTAGAAATCTGTCGATGATGACCACAACAGACATAGATGAGACCACTCTTGTGGACACCACAGGGGAAGAGGAAGAAGACTATTCAGTCCATGACAGCTCTGCTGACAAAACAAGAAACACACTACACGAGTACTCTACACTGTCTCTGCAAAGTGCCGCCAGTAGCAGTAGAAGAACGAGAGAGCAGGATGAAGACAATCCAAAGGAGGCGGTTCACTACTACAGGCACTTGTGTGAGGTAGTCATAGCCAATAGTAGTCATACTTGATAAGTAGTCATACTTACTTGGCACTTTCCTTTAGAATATAATAATTTGCTCTTTCTTGTCCAATTCGAAAAAAAAAACTTCACAAAGAGTTTTGTGGGTTGAATTTTTGTTATAGGGCAAGTGGCTGTATTGAGAAAAACTGTTTAATTTTCTTTTTAATTGACGTATTTAAGGTTGAAGTGTTTTTCTGAGAGAAATATGATGAAAATTAACAGAATTGACGCAGATGGCAGATAACTTCGCGAATAGTCTAATTGGCTCTAAATGATGATGCGGAATTATTTGTGTTGCGGAAGTTCCATTTATCAACATATGCTCTATTTTTAGAGGGAAAAAACGAAATGATAATGACTTGATTGAATCATTTGCAGCTCTCTTTTAGTTTGAGAGTTGAGTTTGATTGACAGCTTTATAATAATTGGGTAAATTACCTGAGGAGAGTAATACACCAATTGTTAGTAAGGGTAGTTTTAAGGGTTGAGTCAAAGGAGTTCCATGCAGTTGGGCATCAGTTGAGTAAGTACATGAAAAATAATACAATAGTAAATCAGGGATAAAACTAAGGTAAATATAATATCATAAATAGGGATATTATATTACATGGTACGGGGAATACTAAAAGGCGAACGTTAGAAAAAGGGGAACTGTTAATAAGGGGGTTATTCAGAAAAGTTGATATTAATCCCGAGTTTTCGTATAAATTGAAACATTATTTTACCTGAAAGTTTGTCATTTCCTTGTAAGTCATGCTGTTTTTGAAAAGTTGAGAGAAACGAGTGAGTCAGCTTGGCTGTAATGTCAAAAGTCAAGTTGAGAGAAAGGTGACCTTAATTGTTTACAATTAACACCCGCCCACATTTGCAGAGCTTGCAAATAAAGTATTGAATAAAATAGTAAGGATACGGTAAAATACAAAGATAAGGGAACCAGTAGATAAGGGAACCAGAAATTGTTCTTTTTCATCTTCATCTTGGTTTGTCTATCGTTGAGCTGATTGTCTTAGTTGAATTGACGAGTCGTAGATTTGTTCATCTTTGTCGAGTTGATATGTTGAAGGCTGAGTTGCGTGATTATTTGGTTGGTTAGCTATTTGGAGCTTGGTTACTGCGAAACTGGGAAAACGCGGCTCAATTTGACCACAGGTCGAACTTTGAATCCAGTTGGCGTTTTCAGCTTCACTGAGCGGACTATTCCATCTTGTCCAGGAAAGGTTTCCACCACTTTAGCAAGAGGCCACAGTCCACGAGGTGTAAAATCCTCCAACATCCAGACCATGTCGTCGGGTTGCAAATTGGAAGTCGCAGAAGTCCACTTTGATCGTTTCTGCTGACCTGGTAAGTACTCTCGAAGAAAGCGATTCCAGAAGTGATCTGCGAGTAGTTGGGATGCTTTCCATGATTTTGACAGAGATAAATCCTTGTCCTTGAAGATACCAGGCGGTAAATTTGGAGTTCCACGACCAAGAAGGAAATGGTTGGGAGTGAGAGGCAGATCATCTTTGATGTCGTCAGACACATTGGTTAAAGGTCGTGAATTCATGGTTGATTCAATTTCGGTCGTGAAAGTAGCCAGTGTTTCATAGGAGAGTGTTCTTGATCCGATGACTTTGTACAGGGAAAGTTTAAATATCTGAACTAGTCGTTCCCAAGAACCACCAAAATGAGGGGCCGCAGGAGGGTTGAATTTCCATTCGAGTGATACGTCCAGCTGATTGATGCTTTCCACAAATTCTTTGTTCTTTTCCAAGTTGTCTAGACATTTCTTCAGCTCAGAATTGGAGCCCACAAAACTTGTCCCACAATCAGAAACCATTTTCGATGGTTTTCCTCGCCGGGCAAAAAAGCGTCTGATACAAAGAAGAGTGCTGTCTGTCGATAGTCCTAATGAGATTTCAAGATGCACAGCTCTGATCACTAAGCATGTGAACAGTAAAATATACGCTTGGTATTGTTTTCCTTGAAGGATGATGGGAAAAGGTCCAACGTAGTCCAATCCAGTCGTTGCAAAAGGAAAATGATTTTTTGATGGCAGTCGATCAATTGGAAGATCTGACATCTGAGGGTAGTCGACTTGTTGTTGCATTCTTCTGCAGGGTATACAACTGTGTATGATACTTTTCAGCATGACGCGGCAGCGAAGAATCCAGTAGTTTTCCTGTGCTATGGCCATTGCTTGTTCCTTTCCGCAGTGGGAATGTAGAACATGGATGTTAGCTAACAGCAGGCGAACATTGGGGTTTTCACCAGCGAGAATGATTGGATATCTAGCTGATAGCATGATAGGGGCACGCGTGAGACGTCCACGAGAACGCAGGATACCGAAGTTGTCCACAAACGGTGCTAATGTTCGAAGTCTACTTTTGCCTTCAATTGGTTTTTCTTTTTTGATGTCTGAAATTTCAGAGACAAAATCTGTCCTTTGGGCAGTTTTAATTATGAGAAAGTGCGATTTCGTTAGATGCAAGAGTTGAAGATCGACCTTCGACTGTTTGTTGATCTTCCGTTTGAGATTTTCTGCGAATAAGAAGCAGTATGCAACTGTCCGTATTAGTCTTTTCCAGTTGCTGAAGCGTTTGATGTCAAATATAGGCTCAAATTTAGCCTCTAATGAAGTAACGAATACAGGAATGTTCTCAAGCCGAATGTTTTCCTGTGAAGGCCATTGAGAAGAATCGTTCAACTGAAATTCCGGTCCTAGTAGCCACCGACAGCTTGAGGTCATTTCTAAAGCAATGTATCCTCTGGTACCGTCGTCAGCAGGATGTAGCAGAGTTGGAACGTGAAACCACTGTTCAGGTTTAGAAACGTCTAAAATTTTCTGAAGCCGATTAGCGACGAAAATTTTGTGTCGTATTTCAGGTGTTCGCAGCCAATACAAAACAGTAGTGCTGTCAGACCAGAAATAAGTTTTTTCAACTTTGAGGTCAATTTCCTCTGAAACAAAGAGCGATAGTTGGGCAGCATATACTGCAGCTTGCAACTCGAGATTGGGAATTGTAACACGTTTCATAGGAGCGACTCTTGTCTTTCCTATTATAAACTTCAAAGATGTGGAGCCGTCGCTGTAGACTATTCTTAGGTAGCAAACAGCAGCGAGAGCGAATTCTGATGCATCACAAAACGTGTGAAGCTGGATTGAAGCAGGGTTTTCTTTATCAAAGAAGTTCCTTTGGAATGAAACAGTTTCGAAATTTTCCATTTCGTCTACCCAAAGTTTGAAATCGGGAAGTTTATCCGTGTCTAATGGAGTATCCCACTTAACACCTTGTGACCAAACAGATTGGAGAACTTTTCGAATCCGAATTGTCAATGGAGCCACTATTCCGAGTGGGTCAAATAAAGAAGCGGTATACTTCAGGAGTTTCCGTTGCGTAGCAATGCCAATACGTAGAATTTTTACAAACTTTTTGTTATCGATGAAGTAGCAGTCAGTGTTGGTATTCCAGTGAACACCGAGAACTCGTTGATGTTTAGGCGTTGGATCATTAGGGCTGACTAAAATATTTGGATCAATTGAATCCAGGAATGGTTTACTGTTTGAGTTCCACTTATTCAAGTTGAACCCACCTCGAGATAAAGATCCTCGTAGTTGTGTCATTTGTTGGAGGGCTTCTTCTACCGTTGACGAAGTGACATACAAATCATCCATGTAGATATTCCGTTGAATGATTTCAGAAGCCAGAGGAAAGTCGTTTTTACTGTCTGATGCACATCGTCGTACTGCGTAGCAAGCCACGCATGGTGAGTCTGTGGCACCGAAAATGTGTCGTGTATATTCGTGAGTTTCTAATTTAACATTTTCTTTCCAAAGGTATCTTAGAAAAGGTCTATCCTTTGGGCTGACTAGCACTTGCATAAACATAGCATCTATGTCAGCAGATATTGCTATTTTATTTTGTCGAAAGCGAATTATGAGACCTGTTAAGTTGCACAAAAGATCGGGCCCTTTGAGCAAACTCGAGTTGAGGGATTTACCCTGAAAAATGCTGGAAGCATTTGAGACTCGTCTAACTTTGTCTGGTTTGTTGACATTTGTCACTGGATGATGCGGCAAATACCAAGATTTGATTGCAGTGTCATGTTTTGCATCTATTTTGGTGACAAAGCCTTTTTCTAAGTCAGTGATGACTGTTGCGCGGTATTTCTCCCTTAAATCAGGTTTACTTTTAAGGCGAAATTCGAGGCTGTTGAGTTGCTTTTCAGCTAGCCAACGGTTATTTGGAAGATCAGTATCCTCTTTCCAAAGAAGGTCAATTTGATAGTGACCATCTACTAAAGTACAAGAGTTTTCGAGAATATCGATTGCTCTTTTATCCGATTTTGAGTGCGAGCGTTTTGAAGAAGCGATGCCTGTGTTTTCTATTTTCATCCAGTTGAGAACTTTCTGGTATAATTTTTCATCTAAGTTATTGTGTGAATGAACTTGTGTGAAGTTCACCGGAACAGATGGAACGGAATTATATTGCGTTTTGTTCCGACCTGTGCATGTCCATCCCAAAAGGGTTTCGATAGCCCAGGGAACATTCTTGGGGCCATAAACGGTATTTTTGATCTCATGATATTCTGGATTGTTGTTTCCGATGACTAGCGATATGCTATTGTCGTTTAAGTCCGGGTATTTAACATGCTTTAAATGTGGAAAATTGTTGCACATTGCGTTTAGTTGAAAAATATCAACTGGGGCCAAATTATTTTCATCTACCGTGAGTACGTCATCGAGCGTCATTGGAGTCGATGTGCTTTTGTATGGTCTAATTTGTACATCCACAGATGTAACTTGAACTGACTTGGTCTCATGATATCCAGATATGGGAAGTGAGTGCTTCTTGTTGACGTCCAAGCCTAGTTGAGTTGCCACTGAGTCCAGTAGTAGAGTTACGCAGCTACCACTATCTAAGAAAGCGTAGGTACAAAGTGTTTTATCACCATTTGATAATTCGATTGGTACAAAAGCTGATTGACCTGATCTCTGACAAGCTATTGCGCGATTCACTGCAGCTTTACTAGGGTTTTTTCCATAAGTATCAGAAGGATCGTGGAGTAGAGTGTGGTGTTTTTTACCACAATTATCGGTTCGACAGAGCGATTTCGAATTGCAGTCAGTAAACCTATGATTCCCTAGACAGTTAAAGCATAAGTGCATTTTTCGGGCATGCTCTTTTCGTTGCTTAGGGTCTAAAGCTTTGAAGTGCTCGCATTTGTAGAGAGGTCCACAGGTGTCTCCACTAGGACAAGCATTCGAGTTTACATTATTCTGAGCACGAGAGTTTTGTTGATCTCCCTGATGGTTAAAGCGCTGATTTTGATTTCCTACACCATTTGTAGTAAAACCATTGAAACGGGAACCACTAGGGTGTTTAGCGTTTCCAGAAGAATTGTTAAAATTGTTATTGTTTTGGTTTCGGAAACCTGTCGGAGGCATGTCGCGACAAGCCTGTGCGTACCGTTGAAACCATTGTGCTAGATGTCTCAAGGAGGGTTGATCGTAGTCTTTGTCGATGACGAAGCGATTCCATTCTAATCTCACAGGGTCGGGAAGCTTTGCCAGAGCAGTGTTCAAGTTTGTTGTAGAACAAATATCGTGAACAAAACCAAGTTGCTCAAAAGTGTCCACTAAAGTTAGGAGAAAAACAGAAAACTGCATGTATGATTCTGGTTGAGCCAGATTTGGAGGTTTGAAATTTGCAAGACGTTGCAAAAAAGAGTTGACAATTCTATTGGTATTGCCAAAGTTTTCACGAAGACGTTGTAGTGCTAGTTCGTATGTGTCGCCGTTTGCACCATAACCAGCTATCATTAGTTTAGCTGGGCCAGTTACCAATGATTGAAGATGGATCATCTTTTCAGTTGGAGACATATTAGAATTATGAATCGATGATACGAATACACCATACCAGTGCAACCAATAGTTGGGATTGCCATTGAAAATTGTAGGCTTCAGTTTTGGCACTGATCGACTGAATGTAGTAGAAGTGTCGCTTGAATTAGTTGCCAAAGCTCGATTGTTGTTGTTAGGAGGGTTTGCAGCACTAGCTTGTTGTGAGCTGTGGTTAGGAACATCACTAGCAAATGGATTTGAAAATGATTGGTCGCCTTGAAATGGCGCCGAAAGGTTGTCGTCAGCGGCAGCTGTTCTTGCATTGCCTTGAGTATTGTTGCTCATGGTTATAAGGTTGTTGTTTGGTATATCCATTATGTTTGCAGTCGGCATGGAGGTTGCGGTTTCCTGTGGGAAAATTGAAGTAGCATTTTCTTGAGCGCTGTTATTTGGAATTGTAGAAGTAGCAGGATTTGATACTTGTTTTTTCAAATATTTTTTCACTTTCATTGAAAATACTCGGATTTTCTGTTTCAACTGTACTGTCCAGTGAGAATGTTCTTCAAAATCGTGTTCAGAACCAGCCTGTAACATTTGATCGTTCAGGGTATCAAGTTTTTGTTGGAATTGAGACAATTCAGTGAACGTTTCATTGATGAGTTCAAGATCATCTTCTTCCTCGTAGATGTTGTTTTCGAGCATGTCGATCAAAGTATTGATCTCCATTTCGTGATGACGTCGAAGCGAAACCAGTTTTCGAACGCCAGTCTCTTGAACGTTTTGATTGGTATCTTGCGTTTGGGTACCATTTTGTTCCGAAGGATCGCTGTCATTGTTTTGCGTCGTTTTATTTCTACCGGATGGGGCCATACCTTGAACCAGGAGACGTAAACCAATACCTACCAACTTATACCAGTATATGAATTTACCTTTACCAACCTACCAACTTATACCGAATACCACCGATGCTCGTAAGAAGGAGCGAAATAATGGATAAAGTTTAACCAATTACCACTGTACCTTACCACTTGTACCTACCTCCGAGGGAAAATTGAGCGGTCGTTCAAAGTGTCCTCGGTATTAACAATTAACTGCGATTTTAAAGCTAGTCCAAGAACCTACCTGGTCCTACCAGCCTACCGACCCTACCTACCTACCAATTACCAGTATAAACGGCAAAAAAAACCGGGTGCAAAGATTAGCACCAATGAGTGTTGACCTCCCAGAGGACAACTGAGGATGACGTATTTACCTACCTACCTGTCGCTATTTAGCAGACGACCGAATTGTGATTGCTGACCTCCCAGAGGACAACTAAAGTTGATGTACCTGTTTACCTACCTGTCCTAATACCGTAGATTTATCCCTGTGCAATAAAATTTGCACTTATACCAGTTGACCTCCCAGAGGACAACTTGCCTTTATCGCTGTAGCGTAGCGAATGAGACGAACTAGAGTTGTTCGAAGCAGTTGATGAGCTAAACGAAGCTCGAATGTAGCCACGAACCCAGTGAGGCTCGAAGCAGCAGAGGAAATGAGCTCAGGTAAAGCTCGACAGGAAGCAGCCAAGAACCGAGAGGCTCAAAGCAGAAAATAAGGTGAGCTAAGACGAAGCTCGAATGTAGCCACGAACCCAGTGAGGCTCGAAGCAGCAGAGGAATGAGCTCAGGTAAAGCTCGACAGGAAGCAGCCAAGAACCGAGAGGCTCAAAGCAGAAAATAAGGTGAGCTAAGACGAAGCTCGAATGTAGCCACGAACCCAGTGAGGCTCGAAGCAGCAGAGGAAATGAGCTCAGGTAAAGCTCGACAGGAAGCAGCCAAGAACCGAGAGGCTCAAAGCAGAAAATAAGGTGAGCTAAGACGAAGCTGGAATGTAGCCACGAACCCAGTGAGGCTCGAAGCAGCAGAGGAAATGAGCTCAGGTAAAGCTCTACAGGAAGCAGCCAAGAACCGAGAGGCTCAAAGCAGAAAATAAGGTGAGCTAAGACGAAGCTCGAATGTAGCCACGAACCCAGTGAGGCTCGAAGCAGCAGAGGAAATGAGCTCAGGTAAAGCTCGACAGGAAGCAGCCAAGAACCGAGAGGCTCAAAGGAGAAAATAAGGTGAGCTAAGACGAAGCTCGAATGTAGCCACGAACCCAGTGAGGCTCGAAGCAGCAGAGGAAATGAGCTCAGGTAAAGCTCGACAGGAAGTAGCCAAGAACCGAGAGGCTCAAAGCAGAAAATAAGGTGAGCTAAGACGAAGCTCGAATGTAGCCACGAACTCAGTGAGGCTCGAAGCAAGCGGAATAAGTGAGCTCAGATAAAGCTCAAACAAATGTCATGTCGAAGAACAATGACGAAAATTGAGAGTCCAAAAAGAACTCGAATCAGGTAACCAAGGAGTCGGGCAATAAGAAAGCAAAAGTGTCAGAAAACACTTGAAGGAAGGAAGCAATGAAGGAAGCAAAGGGCCAAGAAAGGCTCGGAAGGAATATACAAGGCGTCAGATAAGACTCGGAAGGAATGAATGAATGAGTAGGGAAAGACTCGGAAACGAACAACAAATGGGTCGAGAAAGACTCGGAAAGGAATGAAACATTGAGTCAGAAAAGACTCGGAAAGGAACGCAAAAGGCAATAAAGACTCTGAACGGAATGAAAAATGAGTCGGGAAAACTGAAGTTTTTTCATAAATGAGTCACAAAAGACTCGGAATAGCAAAGCAACAAAAAACGAATTGAAAGGGGAAAATTGATGAAAATAACTTAATACATTATTCAAAGTAAATGAAGCTATGAACAATTGAAACGTTTAAAGTTTACATGGGTTAGAAATCAAGAGCAATAATTGATCTTTTTTTTTTTTTAAATGTAAATCAAATAAACTGCGATTAACTGTAAATAAATGAAATAATATTGTAATGGGGAAGTATTATAACAAGATATAATAAACCGCAGACGTAAAAACTGGGGAGGAAAAACAGTAACTAACCATAAATTTTTGGTTGTGGGGGAATAAAAAACACAGTGTAACGAGCTAATCAAAACTTTTTCGGGGCGCCAATATAATAATTGGGTAAATTACCTGAGGAGAGTAATACACCAATTGTTAGTAAGGGTAGTTTTAAGGGTTGAGTCAAAGGAGTTCCATGCAGTTGGGCATCAGTTGAGTAAGTACATGAAAAATAATACAATAGTAAATCAGGGATAAAACTAAGGTAAATATAATATCATAAATAGGGATATTATATTACATGGTACGGGGAATACTAAAAGGCGAACGTTAGAAAAAGGGGAACTGTTAATAAGGGGGTTATTCAGAAAAGTTGATATTAATCCCGAGTTTTCGTATAAATTGAAACATTATTTTACCTGAAAGTTTGTCATTTCCTTGTAAGTCATGCTGTTTTTGAAAAGTTGAGAGAAACGAGTGAGTCAGCTTGGCTGTAATGTCAAAAGTCAAGTTGAGAGAAAGGTGACCTTAATTGTTTACAATTAACAAGCTTGGTAAATTGGGGGCATTGTGTTTTTTGTTTTAGTCTCTGGAGAAGGACGTGTCTCATTTGAAGAGGAAACTAAAAGAGAGTGAGAAGGAGAAGACTCTGATGAAGATAGAGCACGACACCAGGTCTGCTGCTCCAGTCCATTTAACGCTTAGTTTTTATCACAGATTTCCTAGCACTTACAGTTACTTAGCAGTTAATTTAATGTATAAGCACAGTTTTATTTACAGTACAGTTAATATAAGCACTTTATTCACGCGGAATAGGACATCATGACCCTTTTATGTTGAGTCCACAATGTGCTTTTCAGTAGGTATGCCCATCAATGATAAACAGTTGAGTTTAGTTGCCTATTTTTATGACCATTTTGGTATTTACATTTAAAAAAAAACCTTGTGTTATTTCAAGTTTTAAAATGTGAGTAGCAATCAATTAGCCTGTTATAAATAAAGATATCGGAAAGTTGGTATGGTAGTCAAAATATTGAGGGTTATAAAGCGAGTTTTCAGTTTTTGCTCCCAAATTCGATCTCAGGTAAATTGTATTTGCTAAATGATCGTAGTTATACTGGTTATACTGAAAAGCTATAAGCATCCAAGGAATTCAGTTTTCTTTTTGCATGATACAAGTATAATAGCTGGGTCACTAGAAAAAGCAAGAAAGAATATGGGTCCATCATTTTTGATAAAAGTTGGGAAATAAAAGCAAACAAAGGAACACTTGCAGTTTCCGAAGGTCTAAAGTCCCATATAGTAATTTTCTACAAGAACCATTTATGGTTAATACTTTAATCCTTCCGATTTCTGATTTCAATGATTGGTTTTTCAAGGTATACTACAACCGAGTTGCAATACGCTGAAAAACGCGTGAAAACATTGGAGGCTCTTCTGCGCGAGAACAACATTAAGTAAAGAAATCCGCATGTCAGAGTGTTGCTTGATTCTGTGTTGCGTGTATTATATGTAATGTTGCGAAGCAATTCAAGTGTACATAGTCCAGACACATGAAAGAACCTATCCAATTATGACGTCGCCGAGAAAAATCTGGCAGATTGTTTTTGAAATCGTTCTTGGCACTAAAATTTGCACTGAATATACCAAAATTTGTATGAAACTTGACCTCTAGCTTCAGGTCTATCACAAATATCTGACCGATATCGGCTGCAATAGTGGTACCGCGTGAAATGTGTGAAATTCGTGACCCAAAAAAAGCGACCTAGAGTTGCAAAAAATGAGCTTCACTCAGAAAAATAATCTAATTTGGAATGAATGTGGTGAAATTAGTTTAACAGACTATGCTTAGACAGGCCTGATATATTTTCTCAGATCCTCTGCGCAAAATAATAATCTGACATCGATATTTGATCGTTTGTAGTTTCTCGTAATATGATTTATTTTTGATTGTAAAGATTCAATCAACGCTTGAATTGCTTCGCTATATTTCATTAATGTAGTCTCTTGCGTTCGAATTTGCTTGCTTTTTTCATTCAGCCAATTTAATTACATAATTTCAATAACAAGCCTTCTAATCACAGCTTAAACCAAAGCCAATCTATAAACATCTAGCAATTTTGAGTGCAGCCATATTACCCAAGGTTTAAACTCCTTACAAAAAATGCAAACAACCATTTCTCCGCGACTTGTCATCATTCAAAAACTAACCTCAAATTATCCTTAGTACCCTATAAGCGTGTAAGTGAGTACACGAGATGCTATAGTTGTCAGAAGTCAAAGAAATTGCATTTAATTTTTTAATGCGCTTAAACTTATGGGGGTAACTTTTCTCCAGTTGCCTGTTGGCCGTGTTACTTTACTCTCAAGCATCGAACTCCTATTCGCTATTCCTCAAATCTCTGCCCTGAATTGGATCTTTTAATTCTATGTCTTGGACTGTATTGACCCTGAAAAATGACAGAAAACAGAAGTATATCTAGTCAAATCATCCGAAAACTGCTCTCCCGAAACTGTCCCCTAAATATTGCTCGTAGATTTTTTCTTGTGTGTTCTATTACAGACCTTTATTCGACCATAAGATATGTCCGATGTTCTTTGACTGTTCTTTTTGCACAGGACGTCATATGTGAATGGCAAAGTGGATTCCAAGTCAGGTGGTCGGGGTGGGAGAAAGGGAGAAGGTAGTTCGAATGAGCCCACTGGAGTAGATGAGATCCGATATTTGAACATCGAGACCACTCGAAAGTACCTCAAGGTAATAAACTATATAACAGCCCCCTCCTCGTGTTGACTTTTTTTCTCAATCCCAGGACAAGCTTAAAAAAGGTTTACCAAGCAGTAAAAAATTTACATGAAAATTTACAGGTGAGGTCTTTATTTGTGGTTCCAACCCAATGGAGCTATAACGTGATAGAAGTATTTATTTGAGGAATCTTAACGGCTGTGACAGATTTCGTGCCATGACAGATCTCGTCCCATTTTAATTTCAGCAGATTTCGTCCCATTTCAAAGCGTACACAGATTTCGTCCCAAAAATGATAGGATGTTGGATATGGGACGAAATCTGTAAATTAAATAAATTGGACGAAATCTGTTCAAGGACGAAATCTGTACCAATCATCTTAACTACTAATATTTAATTCACTTAAGAAGCGTTATAATATAATTTGATTGGTTATTACTTGTTTTTATTGTGTGTTTATAGATGTTCTGTGATCACATGGGTGTGGATGATCTAAATGAGGTGATTCCTGCTCTAAGACAGATGGGCGAGAAGAATGCCAACCACCTTAAAATGAAAAAGGTAATCGACACTGGTAAACCCATGAACACATCTTGTTCTCTGTCATTTCTCTTCATTACAATTTGGTTTCCTACTTCGGTTTCCAAATGCCGAGTTTAGTATAGAGTTTAGTGCCATTTGGTTTAACTTTATCGTTACGCGCTAAATAACTTTTTTCAACACACTTGCGAGTGGAAGTGTCAATTATTCGGGAACTAGAATTTTTTGCAGTGAACAATTTTTACAGACACATTTCGATAAATCTGCATTACAAATTTGGCTCTTTTTGAAGTTTCTATTTTTGTCGGCTCAGTAATCGATTCCTTACATTTGAAAGCAGTATAGTCTATTAATACAAACCTTCTTTTTTTCGAACCTAACTCGCAAATAAAAGTGTTCACTTAATTAGTGGCACTTTTGCTATAATCCCGATCTTTATTATAGGAAATCTCATAGCATCTGTTCTCTGCTTTATTTTTGGCTAGTGTTTGTGGTTCATTAAGCGTCTGTGGCTCAGTGGTTAGTGAGTGAGACTCATAATTACTCTTTCGATTGGCAAGGTTGTTGCAATCCGGTACTAGGCTTTTTTTTTCCCGTAAACAACGTTCTTCACTGGGCTCAGTTCATATCTCCTGGACTTCTGCATCTTCTGACATGCTCAATTTCTTGAAAATTAAAAAATAGTTTAAATTAATTAGTACTTAGGTCAAGCCCATTTCACGGTGTAATTATTTCAAAAAATTCTCAATTTTTTTCGGGTTTGTGGTTTTCGTCCTAGTTTCTGTCGGTTCTTTTTCTGTTTTTTTTAAACGCTTTTTAATCAGATAGGGTTTTTATTGGCTGCGTTTTTAGAGCATGTGTTTTGTTCAAATTTAAACAGCTTTTCTACTGCAACTGAATTTTCAGTAATTTTTTTGAATTTACCAAGTCTGACATAGTTTTTTTAAATTTTTTTCGTTTCTTTTTTTAATGCTTAAACAGTTTCAGTGCATGTTGTATCGGCTCAGTCAACAATTTTTGCATAATTTTGAGGGCAAATATATTAGCATGCGATTTTGTGTTTCAGATTGGATGGGTCGTAATTTTTTGAAAAAAAGTTCAATGAAGTTTTTATGACAACAGTTTTGTTTTCGGTTCAAACAGGTTTCGACCAAAAATTTGTTGACGCTTCGTAATTGATTTCCATTTTTTTTAGACTGTTTTTGAACTTCTTCTGTTACAACCATGAAGATTTTGTAGCTGCCTCGTTTTTGAATTTTCAAGTTTTTGTCGTGTTCTCGCTAGTGTTTGCGAACCGAAGCTTCGCCTATGTGTAAAGTTTGTTCCAGCGACAATATATTGCTGTTAATTGTTTTTCTCGGCATGAAATTCATTCGCGACAAAATATAATTTTTAATGGTTTTTGTCTGATTAAATGTTACAAACGTGATTTTCACTTTTATAGGTTTTGATGATTTTTTTGGGGTTGTGGTTTTGTCAGGAAGAAGTATTGACATGCTCGATTAACTGCCGAAGTGCATCATACATATTATTGCATTGATGAATGCACTTAGGTATATCTGCATTTTTTCATTTGTTCAAATGAAGTTCATTTGCTAAAAGCTAGGCTAATTGCACTTTTTAAGTACGGATGTGGAAGTTGCGCAAAAACCTGATCGATTACTAGTTTCGAAAGTGGATTTCGTTTTTTAGATTTCCCTGCTAAATACAAAGTTTGCCCATTGATTCAGTTTTCTTAATTGGGTCAGTTTTAAAAAAAAAGTGCCAATCATTAACATTTCTTGAAACTCAAAGAGCTTCAACGTCATATATATTTGTTCGACTTTTGCTGATTAACATTTTTTCAACTGTATGTTGGCTTTGTCAAGAGTAATGAACGTTGTGAATTTTCTTATATAGGTCTTGTGATATTTTTGTTTTCTCCTAGAAAAAAGTTGTGCATTCATACATATTAATACAGATGTGCATTCATACAGATGTGCATTCATACATATTAATGCATTTGTGAATGCACTTAGGTATATATGCACTTTTGAGTTCAATTGAAATCCATTTACTAAAAGTTACTTAAATAGCACTCTTTCAAATACAAACCTGGAAATGGCGCGAAAAAACGTGAACACTTTTTACTTTCGAAAGTGGAATTTAATTTTTAAGACTAATGAATGTAGTGAGTACTCTTATATAGGTCTTGCTGATAGGAAAAAGTCTTAGAGTTTGTTCAATTTCAATTTTTCGGGTTTTGACTCGTGATTTCTTTCAGTGCATTTCCATTGCTAAAAGTAAGGTAAACTCCACTATCGAAAAACGTGATCGACTTCTTATTTCGAAAATGGAATTTAAGTTGCAGATTTCCCAAGTTGCGAAATATAAATTTTACTTATTACTCCAGTTTTCTGAAATTGGGTAAATTTTACCAAAAATATGTCGCTAATACATTGTTTAGAAATTCAAAGAGCTTTGAGGCCTTCTATTTTTTTCGAAATTCAAGAGCTGAGATTGTAAAAAAAACGTTCTGCATTTTTAGTTCATCCAGGAGGTGACTGAAATCACGAGTGACACCTCACTCCCCTCCACCCTCACGCAGGGCAACAAGAGGGAGGCACAGGCGAGGAGGACATACAACACAGTCACCCACACTCTCAGACTGTGGGTACAGGAACTCAAGGCCATACAGGTGAGAATATCATCACAGGAGTCATGCCACAGGGGCTATTTTCCGCCCCCCCCCCCCCAGATTTGTAAAACTATTCCAACTGTGCCATATTGCATTGAAAGTTTGTATGGTGAACAAACTATCGTGAAATTTGTTTCTTCGAATAACAAAATAATGTGTTTGGGCATCACACGTAAAACAAAAACAACTATCAAAAGAGACATTTTGAAATAGGGGCAGAAAATGTAAAAGTGCCTGGAAAAACACTTAAATTGTTCATGTAGATTGAGTTCAATTTGAATCTTGGAAGAGTCTAGACTGTCCCCTTTTTGTTTCTCTCTAGACCCTGTACCAGTCAGTGACTCATCTGGTGTCTACTGTGATGCCGACTGAAAAGATTCTGCCACTCTCTGCTGATTTGTCCGTCTCAGACCTCATCAATTACGTAGACTCCATCACGCAGCAAAACAACAAACAACTCCAGCTGGTTAGTTAATTGGAGTTAGCTCTCAAGAAAGCTACACATGTTAAACTAAAAAGTGTTCGATCATAATATTCCCAGCATTGCGTTGTGCATAAATGAAAGATTTTACTTTATTGCTTATTGGCATTGCCCTTGTTATTATTGAAACTGTGTTGGGAATTATTTAGCATGAATTAAAAACGCCTATATTGTACCCTGATGTTATAGAGTTGAAGTATTGTAAATCCTGCTTTATGGAAAGGGATGGAAAGCTAAGTTCTGTCAAGTTATTTGAGACAAGAAACTTACCCTAACATCTAGTGTGCTTCATATTATATTGAAGTCTCACAGTTTCCTGCTTTCTTGTGTAGAAAACTGTTTTTCCAGTTTTAAAGGAACGAAAGCTAAATAAGCTTCAGCAAGACGAGAGTAAGATGATAATCTTGCCTGGTTGTGTGGTACATTAATTGAGATAGTTTCGATACTGCATATTTAAAAAAAGTTTTAACAGTGCTTGCTATCACATTTAAAAATCTTTGTTAAAAATTCGCCTAACTTAGTTTGTGACCAGAAAACATACTCTGCCAGCTATTCTGCTTCACGTTTTAGTGAAATGTCGACTTTTAGGCTTTCTTGTGTAGAAAACTGTTTGTCACAGTTCTCAAGGAATGAAAGCAAAACAATACTGAACTAAACGAGGCTGTGATGATAATCTTGCCTTGTTTTGTTGTACATTAATGAAATTAGTTGCGGTAGTGCATTCTGTCTAAATGGGGGGCCTAGTAAATTAGACGAAAAGTAAATTAGACGTGACCAACAAAAACGAATTTAGACGTCGATGCAAAATTACAAATACGGGAAATTAGACGTAATTGTATTGTTTGTGTCTGAAATTTGTTTACCGACTACAATTAACTTTCGTTCAGCTTTCTGTATAACTTATGCATTTCAAAAATGTTTTATAATTTTGAAATTAACATTTTATAAATCAATTGAGATAAATATTTGGATATGCAATGGGATCATATATTATTTTTGTAATTATGGAAACTTGTTTTAAGCAATAAGTTTTGTTAGCTCTTTGCTTTCCGTCTAAAATGCTAGTTTTGCAAAAACAATTTAACGTCTAAATTCGATTTTGTTGGTCACGTCTAATTTGCTTATCGTCTAATTTCATAACCCCCCTAAATAGAAATCTGTCTTTAAATGTTTTCAGCGGCTATGAAGGCAATTATTTGCGGGTCAGAAAGTTAAAAACCATTTGTGGGCTACAGGCTCGGTTCATCAATTTACTTTCAATTTTTTTAAAGAAAATAATTTCAGAAAAAGCAAGTAATCTCCACATATACAAGTGTACATGACCAATTTGGACCAGTTTTGTTGTACATAAATCAAGTTCGTTTCTATAGTGCTTGATTTTTCCCGTAGAAGTCTATCAAAAACCCGGGATGAAAAACTAGCTACTATTGAGTGATCTGAGACCAATAGGTATGCCATGCCAGCTATTATGCTTTATATTTTATTTACGTTTCGACGTTTTCTGCTTAAAACTGTTTTTCAGTCTTCAAAACAGAAGAGCTGAAAAATCTCAAGCTAGACGAGGTATAGATGATCATCTTGCCCGGATGTTCTGTACATTAGTTAGTGTAGTTTCGATATCGCCTGCATTTCAATTGTAAATATGTGGGAGCATTTGTGAGTAGCGGATTTAGGGGGGCAGGCGCCCCCCCCCCCCCCCCCCTCAGGAATTTGACCCCCTGACGACCCAAAGGTTGCCCCCTTTGTACTATTTTGAGATATCTATTTTTGGCTGACTCACCTTAAAAGTTTTCTAAAGGCGCCTTCGGCGCCAATATATTTTAATTTTGAGGGGGGAGCAAGCGCCGAAAAAACGCAATTTTTGGTCGAAATTTTCCAAAAATTGCCTAAAAACGCCTTTTTTTGCGTTTTTCAAACATTTGCTTGCGGCGCAGAAATTTTTGTCAAATTAGAGTCTTTATTGTGGTTTGGGAGAGCTCAGAAAATCAATATGGTCGGCGTAAAAAAAGGTCGACAAAATTTTCAATTTTTTTTGAAAATTCGCCCCCCCCCCCCCCTTGAGAAATTCCTAGATCCGCGGCGCCTGGTGCTTGCTTTCTCATTTGGAACTCTATTGTTTTCTTTCCAGGTATGAACAATTGAGTTGTATCGCTGTTTTTGAAAACACATTATGTACCCTGCCACCATTGTGCTTCACATTTGACTGAAGTTATGACTCTCCCTGCATTCTTGTGCATAAAACTGTTAGTCACATTTTTCAAGGAACGAAAGCGAAAGACATTTAAATTAGACGAGGCTGACTTGAGTAATTTTCCAGGTTGTGTTGTACTTAAATCTGTTTTATATTTTTATGCGGGCTTCATTTAAGCTTTCTCAACATTATTTTTGCATGTTTAACAAAAGAATTTTTTTACATTTAAGCTTTATCGTATATTGCAATGGTTGAGAATTTTTTCTTGATTTTCCAGTTTGAATTCAGTGTTCATTTACGGAGTATAAATTAAGCAACCCAATAGTTGGCTGCTTTCAAGGTTTACCCAGGGGTTGCAATTTTGGCCACGAATTATCAATGCCCAAATGTTGTTGGCTTACGAGATACGACGATTATGGTGATTTTTGTTATTCAAAAATATCCAGAAAACTTTATATAAAGTATTTCACAAAATTTGAAATTCCGATCACTGGCCGGGTGCAGTCAGAGTTTTCTCATAGATTACGAATCGTGCCTCTAAGTGCGGCTGCTGGTTTCCAGATGTGAAGTTTTATGTGATTTTTTTCAGAAAACCCAAATTAAGTTTTCTTTAAAATTTGGAATTACTAACCCTGTGTTTGTATAAATGTTACTCTGTTTATCTGTTTTGAAATGTTATTTTAAATTTTGTTTTAAGTTTTGTTATTTTATGTTAATTTAAATGTTCATCTGTTTTGAAAGTTCTCAAAAACCGTAAATCTGATTGTTTAGGAAAAATTGTAGTTCAGAAATTTTTTGAACCTGTTTTTGTTTTTATTTGTGTAGAAAAATAATATGAACATTAAACGATAAACAATCTTTTAACACACAAGCGAAATTTGGTGAAATAGCCAGTGCTGTAGTACATATTTTTTGTACTACATAAGTTAAATGCGTTTCTCTAGAGCTTGCTTTCTGATGTAGCGATCTACATCAGAAATGTGCAAGATGATTGAATGAAAGTTTACTGCTGTTTTTGTTTGTGTTGGAAAATAATATCAGCAGTAAACGCTACGCAATATTTTAACACACAGGTGTAATTTGGTGAAATAACCAGTGATGTACTACATAAGTTAAATGCGTGTCTTTAGAGCTAGCTTTCTGATGTAGCGATCTCATCTAAAAAATCAGATATGGAAAGCCAAGTAATTTTGAATTACTTGAAAGCACTTTTTTTACCCTGCAATCTATTATGCTTCTTCGTAGAACTTATGTTGTTTCCTGCTTTCTTCTGATTTAGGCGAGGGTAAGACGATAATCTTACCTGGTTGTGTTGTACATAAATCAATGTTTTTTCTATTGTTATTTTTCAAATGGTAATTGCTTCTAAATGTTTTCGAAATTGTAAACCAACCTGTTTTTTTTTCGGAGCAATTGCAGTTCAGAAATTTAATAAACCAGTAAATTTGCAACATAATTCAATCAAAAATTATTTTAGTTTTGGTTTGTGTTGACAAATAATAAAAGCAGTAAACGCTAAATCTATTATATATTTAAATGCGGGCTTCACTATCTCGCCATGTTTAAGCTTTTTCAACGTATTATTTTTACATGTTTAAGCTATATTGTATATTGCAATGGTTAAGAATTTTTTTTCGATTTTCAATTTGATTTTAGTGGTTATTTTACCGAGTTTAAATTCAACAGCCCAATATTGAATTAGGGGTTGCGAATTTGGCCTCCAGTTTTGAATGCCCGAATCATTTTACTTAACGAGATAAGACGATTTTTGAGATTTTTTCAAAAATTTTCAGAAATTTCAAACAACAAAATATTTACAAAACTTGAAGTTCATAACCCTGTAATTGGGTACTGTCAGAGTACTATCAAGGATTGCAAATCTTGCCTCCAAATATGACTGCTCAAATCCTTATAGTTTTCGAGATATGACGTTTTTTGTGATTTTTTCAAGTTTTCAGAAAATTTAAATAAAATTTTTTTCAAAATTTGAAAGTCGCAACCTTGTAGTTGGGCGCTGTCAGAGTACTATCAAGGATTGCGAAACTTGCCTCCAAATATGGTTGCTCAACTCTTTGTAGTTTTCGAGATGTGACATTTTTTGTGATTTTTATTTGTGATTTTTATTTATTTTTTTCGCAAGTTTTGAAATTCCCAGCCCTGTAGTTGGGTATTGTCAGAGTACTATCAAAGATTGCGAATCTTGCCTCCATGACTGCTCAAGTCCTTGTAGTTTTGAGTTATGATGTTTTTTGTGATTTTTTTCAAAAATTTTCAGAAAATTTTATTTAAATCTTTCTCAAAATTTGAAATTTCCAACCTTGTAGTTGGGTTCTATCAGAGTAGTCTAAAGAGTTAAAAATGTTGCCTCCAAATATGACTGTTCAAATCCTTGTAGTTTTCGAGATATGACGTTTTTTGTAATTTTTTCAAAAAAATCAGAAAACTTCTATTAATTTTTTTTTTTCGCAAAATCTGATTTTCCCAACCCTGTAGTTGGGTCCTGTCAGAGTTCTCTCAAAGATTGCGAATCTTATCTCCAAATATGGCTGCTCAATTTATTGTAGTTTTCGAGATATGACGTTTTTTGTGATTTTTCCATCAATTTTCGGAAAACGTAAATTATCGTTTTTTAAAAATCTGAAATTCCCAACCCTGCAGTTAGGTCCTATCAGAGTACTCTCAAGGATTGCGAATCTTGCTTCCAAATATGACTGCTCAGTTTTTTGTAGTTTTGAGATGTGACGTTTTTGTGATTTTTTTCAAAATTTTCAGAAAGTTAAAATTAATTATTTTT